TGTGTGTGTGTGTGTGTGTGTGTGTGTGTGTGTGTGTGTGTGTGTGTTTTCTCACGCAGGAGCTCTTTCCCATCAGACCCCAGGCTGAAAAGTTATAAGAGTATACCATTTGTTTTCACGCCATTTTTTATGGCTTATATTACAGTCACATCGGTAGTTGTCTTACCTAAGAAGAAATATAAATATAAATATATATATATATATATATATATATATATATATATATATATATATTCTCCATGTGGAAGGTATGTTTTCACAAGGTTGCCGTCATTTATTGGCGTTTGTTTTAATGTCAGTGTTGCTATAAAGTGGCTCTGGCTCATTATCCCTAAGCTTTTCCATTTGGTCCTCATTACACTCCATTCCTGTGGAGTAACTAGCTCTCCAGCATGTTCTCAGTGTATCACATGCTTCAGTGAAGAAATGCTGATAAATATACAAAGTGATCTGCTCGCTAATTGCAATAATTTGAAGGACATCTGTTCTGTTCTATCCTACCGTATTTTATGCTGCTCTATTCTGTTCCACTCTGTTCTATTCTGCTATATTTGATTCAGTTCTGTTCTATTGTATTATGTTCTATTCTACTCTATTACATTCTGTTCAGATCTGTTTTATTCTGTTCTGTTCAACTGCATTCTATTTTGTTATATTTCATCCCTTTCTGTTCTGTTTCATTCTATCCTATTTCTTTTAAATTATTTTCTATTCTATTCTTTTCACTTCTATTGTGTTCTATTCCAGTCAGTTCTGTGCATTCCATCCCATTTCATTCTGTCTTGTTTGTTCTGATCTGCTCTACCATTTTCTATTCTATGCATGCCATTATAAAGCATTCTATTCTGTTTGGTTCTGTCCACATTATGTTCTTCATCTATGCGGCTGGTAAAATAGTGAAATCAGCTCATGTCTTTTATTTTGTTCCCCAGTTACTGTAGCTAGATGACAAAAAAAAGTTAAGTCCCTGTGTCTCAGGGTTAAGGGTTCCACTTCCTGTGTGGCTCTGAGCGCTGCCGATCGTAGTGCTCTTAAATGTGGAAGTGAAGTGAAAGCAGCTACTTTTACACGCGTTCGCTTCCTGAAATAATAAATCAATCAACATTTCATTTAGTTCGCTCATTTTTTAATTTGATGAATTAATTCCTGTGGCTTCTTTTACTTTGGCAGTTCCCCATGAGCACATGATGCTGGGCAATTAAGCTTTTCAATGATAATAATATGTATATTGATATTTCTTGAATGCCTGCAGAACGATGAACCAGTGACAGGAGGAGACAGCGCCAGCGAGGTCTCCGTCTCCTGTTCCTCCACAGACGACGCCGCCAGTGTCGGCCCGTCCAGCTCCAGTCTCGAGGGCAGCCAGGGCCTGGAATGCAGCTGGAGCCCAGAGGAGGCTGGGGCTCCGATCGCTGCAGGACTAGACAGTGGTGGTGGTGGTCTTGGAGGAGCTGGGGAAGCTGAAGAAGAAGCCAAAGACAGAGTGACGGAGGTGCCACGGCGCTCCAGTATCCTCCGGAACAGCATCCGCTCCCTGTCGCCCCTTCGCCGCCACAGCTGGGGTCCCGGAAAGAACAACGGAGGAGACGCAGACATGAACCAGAGAAGGTGAGATGGGGAAAGCGGGTCTGATTATATTTGATTCTTCAACTGGAGTTGAACTGATGGAGAGACGGGAATGTTACTCCCTTGACCTCGAACACGGTCTGCCGGTGTTAGCCTGGTGTTAACCAGTAGATGTCAGTAGACCTGATGTGTGCACATGTCAGTGTCATTAGAGCTGGTCGGTGTCACTCCCTCTGTGCCATGTTGAGTGTTTCCTCCTCCTGCTGCGAGCAGCTGTGTTGCCATTTGTCTGGTGTTGTACGCACGCAAGATGCATACACACAAAGACTCAGACACACACACTCGCAGCAACATGCACAGACGTAAAACCTTGACACATACGACTTCACACTCGAAGAACACTTATTGAGAAATCATTAACATGGGGACCTTTCTGTCTTCGGTGCTAGAGCGGCAGCCTGTCATGGGCTGTCTACAGACAGAGTAGTCACCAGGCTTTAAAAGGCCTGTGCTGCAATGTTGGAGTGAAAACTGCTTTAGAATTTTATCAGTTGCTATTTTTATAATACCCAGGCTGGGCACAAGCAGCGGCTACCACCAAGTATTCTGTATTCTTTCTTTATGGTGTAACTAATGACAGAAAGAACCATATTTTTTTAGACCGCAGGTGCCCTTTATAGATAACCACGGGGTACCTGGAGCACATGAGAAGCATGTTAACTGCTAGAGAAAGGCTCTCACTGCGGCTAAATGTGCATGCTGCGTTAAGCACACGGTCTGTACTGACATTTCTGTGACTCTAAAAATATCTTGTATAAGTGAGAGAAAAAACACTGCAACAACTCAGCAATTAGTTAAAGTAACACATGTTAGAACCACTTCCTGCTTGATTTTCTCACTTCTACTCTTTTAGTCACATTATAAAGGAATAGTTTGACATTTTGGAAATACTTGCTGATGATAAATATCAAGCAACAGCTAACAGCTTACGTTAGCATTAAGAGTGGAAGCACAGGGAAACAGCTATCTGGGGTATGTAAAGATACTAGCACCTCAAAAGCTCACTGGAAAATATGTTATACCTTGTTGTTTCTCGTGAAGTTGTACAAAAAGTGTAAAAATGACAATTCTTTTATTTGTGTATTTTTTTACTGGGGTTTTTAATGGGGTTATGTTTCTTGGCCGCTTGCTCCTGGCCAAGGAATAATTTGGCACATAAACCCCCCCGTAAAACAGCTATGTGTCAGTTTTAAACTTTTTCTTTATTTCTTTTTATGAGCGACCTTTAGATGTGCTGGTGGGTCGATTTTTGTGGCTTAAGGACAGAGCCAGGCTCGCTGTTTCCCCTTTGTGTTTCCAGTTTTTGTGCTAAGCTAACCCTCTCCTGGTCATATTTCACAGACAGATATTATTAGTATTCCTTTAAGGTCATTTATTCTGAAGAAATGCCATTGACATCACTCCTCCAACACGGCGGCCTGTGCCTCGGACCTTTATACACACACGCTAGCGCCCATAGATATCCAACCTACTAAGAAGATGATGGTTCCATCAGCAAGTAGTTCATTCATCCATTCATTACTGTATGTTCTTTTTGACCTGCCATCCCGCCATCTCACCCATCATGCACCACCCCCCGTCTCTCTTTCTCATCCATCACCTCCAGCTCCGTCCATAGCCCTGGTGAGAGGAAGCCGACCTTTCACAGGAGAAGGTACTAATAAATCCCATTCATCAGCTCATGTGATTTTAAGATTGACTTGTTTCTAGGTGACACGCATTGACTAATTTACGGAGGATCTTCCCCCATTTTTTTTGATGAATGCTGGCTGAACTACTGCTGCATTGTGCTCCATCGCCGCAGGCAACTGAGCTTAAAAATGCTGCGCTCTTTTCACCCGTCGGAATGAGAAAGAAATGCTGTAGCAAATAGGAGGTTGAGACTGACCGGTGTTTTGTATTGCAGTGGTAGTAACACACAGCTACACAGAAAGAGGGGAGTTTAGGTCTGGAGGCTCGGAGAGGCTTTAAAGTGTAAAGGAGAGCAGTAAAAATAGTTGTACTTGCAGAAGTGTTCTAGAAGCTAGAAGTATGGCTTTGTTGGAGTAGTCAGATGTGAAGAATCGCACGTCGTTCACCATCAAGTGATCTTTTATGATCCTGAGTGTAAACAAACCCTCATCCTGGCGTCTTCAGTTAGGGTTGATGATAGCTGCCACAAGTGTAATGCAGACCGTTGGGATGGGACCTAAACTACATGTGACTTTCAGGTTTCTGTGGAGCTTTTTTTTTTTTTTCCCCTTCCTGTCTATATTCAGGAGGGTGGTCCTTCAATTTGAGAGCATGACTCATTGATTTCACGTTCAGATTATGTAATGCTTCCCCTCAAAACCCTGTTCTCGCACTGCTCCTGAAACGTCTGCACTTAGATTTCTCCTCTGCGCATGGATTATTCGTGCTATAACCCCCGTCACGATTCCACAACCAATAGAATGCCGGGGGTAAGTTTCGACCAATGAAATGATACAAATTGAAATGCTCTCAAATTGAAAGACATCACTCTTGAATAATGATGGGGGAAAAAAAGCTTGATAGGTTTCAGGAGTTTCCGGCATGACTTCAGTAAAGTCCTGGAGAAGTTCGAGACCAGTATGAGTATTATTGTATAAACGACATTGATGTTTTCACTGTAATCTATGCCAGTGGTTGTATAATGAGCCAATGGGAGGGAGTAGAGCAGTAGATGGACATTAAGGCCATTAAGTCATTCCTGTAATATTATTGTCAGTGCTCTGTGGTGGAGAGACGGTTTCGAAATGGCCTAAAACATTCTGCATCGTCTTGTATATATGCAGATACAGCTATATCTTTGATTAGTTAATAATAGCCAATAATGTCAGCACGTCACCTCTGTATGTGTAAGGCTGTAATTTAGACATGGCTCCTATCGTCAGAGACCACTGCTTTAACCGTCGGTTCACATCTTCCACACCGGAGAAAGCAGTGACTGCCACTGCAGTGGTTTCAGTAGCGTTAATAGCTGACAGCATTGCAGTTCTGGGAAACGACTTAGGTTCAAGTTTATTTCCTGTCTGCTAAAGATGTTACCACAACACTGCCACAGGAAATGAACTTGATCCCTTTTTACAGTGTTTATACTTGCCAATGTGAAGTCATACTTGGAGCAGTAGTTCACGTCGGTCCCAGAACATTATCTGCCATACTTGCTTCCCATCACTCCTCTTGATTATCCTAACTAACCCCTCCACCTCACACTCACACCTCAGCCGGTGCCCTCCTGATGCCCCCCACAGCCACAGCGTGGCAGTAGTTAGTTCCCTCGGGTACAGTGTGTTTGTGTGCGTGCGTTACCTTTTTTTTTTATTTATTTTTTTTTACCCCACATGCCCTTCTTTGAATAGGGTGTGTTTACATGCTGCTCTATTTGCATTTGCCGTTTTTGTGGGCATGTGTGCATGTGGTTTTGTGAGTGTTTAAATGCCCTGCCCAGTCAGTAGCTTCCTACATCGGAGAGCTGCAACAGCGGCTGCTGTTATTCATGTTCCAGTACCGAGGACCTTGCGGCTCTGTAGGTTAGTGTGTGATGATACTGGCAGGATATGTAGTATAATATAGTCATTTACATTCACAGCCCTGAAGATTAGGTGAGTGCCGCTCTACGCTGATCACCGATAATCACAGAGTCATGATTATTTTGGTCCAGTTTAGGTGGACAAGAGATGAGAGAGATTTACCGCTGAAGCCTTAACCATCACAGAGTCAGTCCTGAAGCGGATAGAGCCGCGTACAGTCGCATATAGCTCAACCTGAAATGTAGCTGTAGTTTTCCTCTCCATAATCATTGTATTGGATTCTTTTCAAGGCCTCTTATTTCCACTCGTAGATCGATGTAATTAGGTTTGTAAATCCCAGCTGCAGAGCTCTCTATGCCGATGTCGGGAGACATTTTCCCGCCGCTTCGACTGTAAATCTTCTCCGGAGCCCGGTGATAACTCAGCGGGCTAAACACTGTGCAGGACCGGCTCCGTGTGTGTCTGTCAACAGGCGGTGCGTGTGTGCACGTCCGTATGTGTTTGTTGCGGCAGTAGCTGAGCGTAGCCAGAAAAGCGAGACGAGTGAAATGTGCGTGTGTACGGTACAGTCGTCCCTCCTTCTCTGAGGTCATCTCTGCTTTCTCTTTTGTCCATACAGCTACAGCCTGGAGGGGCTCAGCGGAGCCCAGGAAGAGCCGAGGAGCCCCACCGCTCAGGGGCCCCGAATCCTGGAGCCTTCAAGGATGCCCCGGCATTACAGCGATGACAGGGGCTCCCTGGTGTCTCTGACAGAGGAGCGGGAGGAGCTGGGGCAGCATGGCAGAATGCATGACCTGGTCAGCTAACACACACACACACACACACACACACACACACACACACACACACACTTCATCACATTTGTCCTTTAGATGTCATATCTTCATACTGTCACGCAGTCGGCCCCAAAGGGATCCTCACAAACATCCTCAGCCTACTACACATGAGAGGAAAAATGGATTTGCAAAAAGCTTGCACATAAACAGTCTGGGAAACTTTGGCAGTTTGGGGATTAGCAAGAATTAATGAACATTGCTTTCCTCAGGGGCCGTCTCCTCGCTCTCATTGCTGAATTTAAAACAAATTGTGAACACAACTTCGCAAACCATTTGTGTAGTTCCCCCTTTTAGCTTATCGTTCCTGTTTCCAGTTCAGTGACTGGTAATGTTTTGTTCCACGTTATCTCTGCCTGGTTTAGTGTCCTTTATTATTACTTCTCTTTTACATCGTCATGCAGTGTGTTTCACTCAAGCTTGTGTCTCTCGCCCCAGAAATCAAGGCGGTATCGGCCTCTGCGAAACAGCTGTCCTCCCATGACCCTGCCCCTCACCAAGTCCGTATCCATGCTTGCCATCAGCCAGAGAGACATTGATGGTGAGTGACAAGTCGTGAGGCTGCTTATCTGTCTTTTACCCTCAGCGATCACATCACGATTGCAGATCCAGATAACGGCCAGTACTTCGACCTCTTCATCAAGAAATCTCCTTTCCATTATACGCATTAACTCATGATATATTAAAAGTGGGAATGCTAAATGAGTCAATAAAGTGGTGAATATCTAAGAGTCTGGATTTCAAAGTGAACCTCATATGCTTGTATTTCTAAGTGCAGAAGGCCCAGCGTGCAGAAGGAGCACAGCTTTTTTTATGGTGTACTGAGAAATGTAATGAAAAATAACACAAAATGTAGATTTTGAAGCTTTTTCTTCATCATGTTTTCAATGAAAACATGATGAAGAAAAAGCTAGATGTGTAGATGGAAATCATCAAGGTAGGCGAGGAGAGGAAGTTCAGGAGTTTGCTGGAAAAACAGAGCCATTGTCTCAATTATTAAAACCTATGCAGCTTTTGTTGCACCTGTTAGGTGGGAGAGGTTGCACCTTTATCATTGGTGATGCAGCTGTAGCACAGCTCTTCCCACCTTCAAACTGAGCCAAGGTCTAATTAGTCAGACTAAGTGGAAGCACCTCTGTGAGCGCTGCAGGGATGACGTATTTTTGTTGTTCAACTCAAGTTAGCATCGCACTGGTTCCCTCAACATTTTTGCATTGGATTTTGGATTATTAGAGAAGATAATCTCTGTTGCAGAGTTTATGATTCTAACAATAGTATCAGCAAGAAAATCTCCACGAATGAACAGCACTTTTATGATATTTGAAGCGCAAATGCAGTCACCAGCAGTAGAAAGCTAACAATAAGCTATAAACAAACCACACCACTGTCGCATAACTTCTCGTCACCACCGCTAAGCTAACTGTTGACGTGATGACGTTTTGTAGTCTCATTTAGCCACTTGTTAGCAATCCTTTTTTTTAAGACACGTAAGAGCTTCAAAATTCTAAAAGCGTATTTTATGTCATAGAATATAACATTAAAATCTATTTTTCTGTGTTAACCACAGACCTTATTTCTGGCAGCTAACCAAAAACCCATTCAAAACCCCCATTGACTTAAAGACGAGGGAACATGACGTGCAAAGATGCTGACTCATTCCTGCAGTTTCTCTTTATCTTGACATTCCTATCCCCCATCGTCTCTGTTATTATGGAGTTCTAATTCATAAAATGTTAAGTTCCTGCTGTGGTTTTTTCCTTCCTGCCCTCCCCCCCAGCAGTGGGACACCTAAGACGTAAGAGGCGAATTTCCTTCTCTTTCAGCCTTTCCCCCATCCTCACCAAATCTAAGTCTCAGTACCTTTATGGGGACTCCTCATCTAGCGATGATGAGGATAACTTGAGTAAGTAATGCGCTGTAAAGTGCACTAGAAAGTAGCTGTGATGTCAGAAACAGTAGTTGTTGTTGTTAGAGCCCTGGATCTCCCTTAAAGGACTCTAATCCAGAGTCAAGAGTGCCATTACAACAAAAAGTTGTGTCTGATCACACAAAAAAACTGATTTATGATACTTAATTACAAAATGCAGTTTCAATTAAATGCACTTAACCCTCAGCACAACTAAAAGGGCCCCAAAGTTCAGCTGCAACACACTTTTTTGGAGGAACCTACTACTTACTGTTGACATTAGGCCGTTTGCAGTGTGAATATGCAATTACAATCAAAATAATAATACCTGTTGACGACATTGAATGAAACCCGGGCTTCTCCTGTCCCCTCCTCGGCCCATGAGTTAGCTGACTTTTACTTATATTAGTCCTTGTTTTGTCTCTTTGCAAAGAACGAAATGCAATCACCAGAGAAAGAGGACAAGTAGTAATCACAAACACTGCAGGTGAAGTGCCCTCCGGATAAATGTGTGCCTGTCAACTTTAGTTAAAAGACACTGAGCCTTCCCTTTTTCTTATCTTATCTTTTCCCATTAGTGTTCTCTGTCTCCTTCAGGACAAAGCTTTGCCCTCATTATCCTGCTTTAGGTTTGACTTTTCTGATGCAGAGCAGGCAAGCAATGCTTTGCATACTTGCATGCTCTTCAGAATATTGGGGGAGAAATGATTTGTCAGGAAGGAAGCAATGTTGGTCCCCTAGAAGAGATGCACGCCTACGTTTAACTCACAGCAGATAAGTAGAAACTCTGTGGTGATTATTTAGCAAAGACTGTGTGTGCAGAATATGCTTTAATTGCATTATTTATGCCTCCGGGCCGACGATAGCTCTGGCCGTTCAGTCAATTTTCGTGACGATGTGTCAGTAATTAATGTGCGGTAATTCTACGTGCTATCAGATAAGAAATCAGTCCGGAAATCCAAGTTTGACAGATAGAGGACCCTGGGTGGTGTTTGGGTAAAACAAGCTAGCTACAACCATCATGGCTTTGTGTGATGTAAGGCACAGACAAAACTCAATTTGATCAGATATTGGGGCCATCATTTCTTGCGGGAAAAGAAAAAGTCTTTGTATTGTGAGAGTTCAGGTTTTTTTGGGGTATTTGGAGCCAGTATCTAGCAGCCATTAATGGCCCTGGATCAAAAGGCAGCACTTCAGCTTCAGCTCCTGGCCTCAGCGCTGGCTCCCTTCATCCGTGCCAGAGTTCATTTGTTTTCTGGCTTTCTCCACAGCTTCCAACGAAGTAGCTTACATTTCAAATACCTTGCTCAAGGACATTAAAGGTAGCTACTGATGGACTGGGGGGGGGGGGGTGGATTATTCAATACATCTCTGCCCAATCCTTGCTGCCAGGACTGGAACTAATAACCCTCTGGCGTGATGTGAGCAGCAGGTTAACAGTGCAGCAGCAGCCTCAGTGCGTGTGTGTGCGTGTGCGTGTGTGTGTGTGTGTGTGTGTCACAGTCACAGGATGCGTTCAGGAACAGTAATGAGTTGTGGGTCACCTGCGTTTTGTCAACACTTAGAGCCCAATACACAATCCCTGAAGTCACGTGTTGAAAACAGAACAGAAGAAGATAATAGACGTGAACGTCTCTGGTTGAGCCAGGCTGAGAGAATAACAACATATCGGTAGACATATTGGTTTGGGAGTCATACCGTGAGGTCAGTGAGTTTATTCACCGGTGAGACGAATCCAGCAAACAAAAAAACCCTCCTGATTCTTTGTCCTACCACTGACTTCCGCTCTGTTTTTTCTTCTAGGAATGAGGTCGTTGTCCAGCGCCTCTGGGTCGCTAGCGTACAGGTGAGTCCAACTCTGCACATACACATTACCAGAAAATAGTTCCTAAGGCTTTTCAAGCTTTACAATGCTTTGAAGAACCATGTTTGGAATGTGTTAACAGGTAAGCCTTGTGAATGCAGCTCTTTGAGGATAAAGTGTGTGTGTGTGTGTGTGTGTGTGTGTGTGTGTGTAACAGTATATCAGAGGAGGAGCCGGGCCCTCTGCGGAGCGACACCGAGGGAAAGAGCGTGACGAAAGTCAGCCGAACATTCAGCTACCTCAAGAACAAGATGTACAAAAAGACCAGGGTGAGGGAACATGGGTATTCAACTCTACTGTTTGTCATTCGTGCGGCACGTTTCCACATTCGGCCTCCCTTCACAGGCTTCTCCTCCTTCTTTAAACGTGTATTCCTTCAAGCGAGGATGACTGAGCAGCACGCTGCTTTTCAGCCTCACGCCGCTCACCATTTATACGTTTGCACACACTCACACTGGGAGCTGTTCATCTCCTTCTGCTGGTCTGTGAACAGTTCCAGTCCAACAGTTTTTTTTTTTGTTTTTTTTTTGTATTTTTTCGTGTCTTGCTTCAGGGCAAGTCGGTGTCTCTTTTCATATTCCCCCCCAGAACATTTTGTATCTCAGCCCGCAACATTTTCTTCGTCCCAGATGTGAAACTCTGGTGTAAAAGATGTGGTCAAAGTCATCTCTTTTTTCCAGCACTGAGCAAGTTATTTAACGGCCAAAGATATTTTTCCAGTGAGAACATTTCTTATTTCATTTTGAGCAATGAAAATCCTGATGCAAAATAGGTAAAATGCTTTCAGAGACAGAACACCTTCCCCTCTCTACATGACTTGGAAGTCATAGTCGTGCAACTCAGAAATCATGAAACTCAAAGTCACACAAAATCGCAGGTGTGACATACTGTATTTTGACATCCACTAATCCAGTTTGCAAATAGAATAGTCAATATTTCAAGTTTAAAATTACACTGATAATTAGTCCCATTTGGGGAAATAACAACTATTTAGAGTAACTTCAGCTTTTGCTTGCAGTCTGTCATTGTGCAGCCCTTGCAGAGAGACACAGAGGGGTGAACAGGAAGTAAAACAGGAAGACGGGGTTGACTGTGGTTGTATAATCTCATCTCTAACCTCAGTCCCCGCTTTGCTTTTAAAGGGACAGGACTCTGAAGGAGATCATCGCCAGAGCCTGTCAACGGTTAAAATTCTTGGCCGTGGTTTTTGGAGACTCCAAGACTATTAGCGAAGCTTTGATGCTCAAATTGGCACCCGGTCATTGGATTGTGTCCATGAAATGCTGTATGTTTATTGTTGGTGACAACCGAAAAACTGCAACCTCAGCAACCTGGGTCCAGTTGCACACCACATTAAAAATGTCTTCATTGAATTCAAAGATGTCTTCATTGAATTCAACTGGATGAGGCTTTTTAAGTTAGAGATTCAAAAATAAATTGTCCGTTAATAAATTACTACTTTAAAAATATCTGAATATCCAAATTATTTAGGTAGGTGTTACAATCACACAGTTCCTGTACAACAACCAAAGTCTGAATGTTCTGCAAGGAGGATGTAGTTAGTGGCGTGTTGACATAGCGTCTGTACCAGATGCAAGGGTCGTTGCAGAAATAGCACCTCCTGTAGCGAGCCGGTCACTTCCTCATTGCAGCTTTCCCTGATGAAGCCTCAGTGCTGCGAGTAGCTTCAGCCGCAGCCAGTGATGTTATGCAGGAGATTCACGGGGAGCCATGGCTTCTCAAGGAGATGGAAAGGTTGGCTGGAGGTAGGCTAAGAGACGGCTCTTTTTTTTTTTTTTTTTTTCCCAGTCAAAATTGTAGTGAAAGAGGCTGTCACAGTATCATGTGAAAAAAAAAAAAGTGCCCGGTGATCCCTTCTGGGGCTGATGTCTTTTTCCAGTGAAGTCATTGACCGTTACAGTGTGTTTCTCTCACATGTCTTTTTGTTTGAATCTGTGGTTTAGACGTGATCACTTCTCCTTGTGGTGAACGCTTGCAACCAAATGAACTTTGCTTAAAACTTTAACTTAGCTGTGTTTTTCCAATGAGTTGAACTGTTTTTGCATTGTTTTTTATTTTTTTAAAGATACCATCAAGTGTCTTTTAAAAAAGAGATTCTTAGAAAAGTTACTGTGGTGCGTAATGTTCTTCAGTTTGTCGAAGTGTTTCACTGCTGTTAGACAGCTGTTGCAGGAAGTGACAATGAACGCAGTGTTGTAATACAACATGCAGGCGTGTGTGTGTGTTCCAGTCAGCCATACGGCGTATTGAAGCGGCTGAAAAAAGAAAAAAAAAAGAGCTCCAGTGTGTCGGAGCTTTGTGGTCCCCTCGAACCGAGAGGCCCAGGGCCCGGCCATTAAAACGAGCTGGAAACTCCATTTTTTTCCCCCCCCATTTCCTCTGGGTTTGGGTGGAGGCTCTGTGATGCAAGTCCAAGAGAATAAGAGCTCTGTTCGTCTCGCCATCGCTTTATGGGGATTGTGATTCAGCTCAGTGTACAGAGATGACCAAAAGCCGAGGATGACCTCGTCCATTAGCGCGGAGGCAGCAGAGAGACCGCCCTGTTATGGAAAGGTCAAAGATTTGATTCCCAGACAGCGTGTCTCCGTCAGCATTCACGCATCTCGCAGAATTTCAGCACACTAAACTCCTCCCTGCTGGTTTGAATAAGAGCTTCACAGTAGCTGAGTAAACAACACAATATGGAATATTACTATATTAAAAACATGTCTGTAGTTGGTAACTGTTTATCACAGTCGCTATGTACCGCTTAGCATCATCTCCCGTGTTATAAACCCCTACTAGTAATCCTTCTGAAAAACACATCGAATTATGGGTTTTAACATACAATTGTTTTCATTTAAAAAAAGCAAAGACTCCCTGAAACAAAGACACACTGCATTTAAAATAGTCTCCTAATGAGACAATTTGTTGTCAGCATAAATAATGCATCACTTAATATGCAAAGCCCCCCTGCTGTGTCGTACATCAGGGTAATAATGTTGCTCTGCTGGATTCAGATTGGAATTTAACACGAGCAACTGGCCAAACTTGAGACATTCTGTCAGTGTCGTTTGTCACTCTACAGGTAACTCAGCACAGTCTCTGTTGTTGTTGTTGTTGTTGTTGTTGTTTTTTCAACATCTAATCGGCTGGAATAAAAGGTAAAGTAATTACCGTCCTCTCCTGGTGTGGTTGTCTTCTAAACCCTGATGCTTCCACCTGTGCAGGAAAAAGACCGCGATAAAAGGGAGAAGGACAAGGAGGTCAAGGAGAAGGACAAGAAGGCGATCAACGGCCATCTATTCACACCAGTCAGCTCAGGCCAGGCAGACCAGTGCTTCCAGTGCAATAAGGCTTTCAACGGCAAGGAGGCGTTCCAGTGCACGCGTGAGTCCCTTTGTCTGTGTGTTTCTTTTTTTTTTTCTTTTTTTTTCAGTTTTCTATCGTCCCAGTTTGTGTTCTTTCATCGTCTGCGACGGATCAGGACTCCTGCTGCTTTAAGTCTAATTAAAGCCCGTAAAGTGTTATGATCCACAATTAGAAAGATTTATCTGGTTGTAGATTCATTTTTGAATTTGGAAACATCGTAACTAAGCTCTCTGCACTGCTGAGAACACACAACACTGAATATTGTAAGGAGGAAAAAAAGCTCCTTGTGCAGTGCACCCTGCACATACATCGGGCATGAATCGTGCTACGCGGCAGGTCACATCAATTTACTGTAAAAACTTAGTCAGTATCATATCATTTATAGATATATCCACATAATGTCATTGAAGAGTTTAAATGGGCAAAACACTTTTAGGATAGTATAGGATGAACTTTATTGCTCCCCGAAAAAAACCCGAGACATACACAATATAAAGACACGATATACACAATATGTTACCTACACGATAGTTAACACCAGGCAGCGGTCGTTACATAGTTCCATTGCCACAATAGGAGGGTCAGTAAAAGCCAAGTTTAGTCACTAAGTTAGAGCAAAAACAAAATGTACGTATCAATGTAAACTGTATGCAGATGATAACAACATAAGTAATGGCCGCAGACAATGAATGAATGAAGTGTAAAGGTCAATGTACCAACATTGTTGAATCTGCTGGATCTGAAAACACAAATACAGCAAAACTGAAAGTCTGAATCACTCTAACTTGGCTGAGCCAGCTTCATGATTTGTTTGAAGAAGTGAACCTCTCTAGTGGGCTACTTCTAATGTCACCCAGTCTGGCCTTCAGTACAGACATTGTTTTCCACTGAAACAGCAGCAGCAGCCCTAAAGAGGATGTAGTTTATTGCACAAGCCTTTGGCGCAACCCTTAAAAAACAGAAAAAGCCTAAAAAGGAGAAACCCGCTCTGCGATGGATTACAGCGGATCCTCTCAATGGTCACAATCTGCCTCAGATACCTCAGACGGGCAAACACAGCTCTTGCTGTATTCAGTTGGTCTGGTTCGGATTGTTGGAGCCACAGACGGTTCTGAGGGTGTTTTCGGGAGGTTTTGTATTCGCAGATGTCTGGCTGGTGTCCATTCAACAGACAGTTATCCTTTGTCTGAGATTAGCTGGAATTGGTTAAGATGTCCACAAAAAGCAGTAAAATACCCAATAAAATTATTTAAGAGGAGAAACACAGCAGGAATTTAAGCTGGTTTTACCGTGCGGGTCATAATTGGATATTTACCACATAATCTACTAGGCGGATACTTTTAGACACATGTCTTTTGCAGGAACACAAGTGTAAACACTTCTCAGGTGATAGGTGGAAGTAAACCTGAAAGGGTTGCTTACTTTCTTTTCTTGTTGATTTAGCACCTAAATTGCAGCCTCTGCTGTTCTAATAGATCAAATATCACACACTATCAAGGGGGGGTAGGAGCACGCTGTCAGTCATTTTGATTGAGACAGACACAGTTGCAGCCGACACACATTTCCTCAAGTGTTCAGTCTATTTTTGTTTTGTACGATATGTAAATCAACTCTTGCTTTGCTAAAGTAACAATTATCTGTTTTTGTTTTTTTCTTTAGATGACATTAGCCACATGACTATTACTGTTTAAGAAGAAATATGTTCATATTTTTTGCTGTGATGGTTGTTTCTTCTGTAGTTCATTCAGTCGGTTGTCCTCTAGTGTTAAACATGTTGGCAGGATGAAGGTTAAACCACTTTCATCTGTTGGAAACACGAACACATGAAAGTTAGTGGAAACTAGTTTTGAAGCTAGATTTTGACACAACCAGAGGTGGTCGTTCCTCCCTCTGTTCTTGATCGATCTCTGTTTCCAAATGAGCTTGTAAGATATGCTTTCAAAGTATGGAATTTAAAAAAAAGTATGGTACTGGGGAATTAAAGTCTTTCATTGACTCAAGGGGCTCAAATTACAGAGAAGATCTTATTTTAGCGATCTGAAGTGATGACCTTTGTTTCTAAATGGTGATTTGGGAATGTTTATATAATTGAAATTTTCCCATGCAATGTTAATGTGTGTGGGTGTGTGTGTGTGTGAGTGTGTGCCATTCCTCAGCCGATCTCTCCCTCCTTTTTTTTTTTTTCTCTCTCCTTCGGCCACGAGCAGTATTACCCCTCGATTGCATCACATGCTCTGCTCCAGTCTGGCTTTCATTAGTGGGCTGGTGGAGTTTCCTGGCCGGCTATGAAAAACCAGTCAGAATTTCTAGCCCCCACCTTTTCCACGCACCCTTGACACCCCCACCACCGTGCTCATAGCACTCACTGAGCGTTCTGATGCTTTTTTTCTTTCCAGACTGTAATGCCTCCGTCCACAAGAGCTGCAGGGACAGCCTGCCTGTTTGTGCCAAGGTGAAGATGAAGGTAAAAGTTCCCCGAGAGTAACTCCACCACAGATTCCGTAGTATTCTGCTGTCCTGCAGACAATATTGATTTGAACTCCTCGCTTGTGCTTTTGCTCTGTTTTTTTCGAACCAGTTGCCCAAACAGCAGTTTGCAGTACCAGATTCAAGCACTTTTCCTACAGTCACGATGAGGAACAAATGTGAGTGTCAAACCAAACTCTTTCATGTCTTCATTTCCAGTTCTCATCTGCAGATTTGATCCCAAAATTGATTAAAGATGTTTTTACATTACGTGTTTTTTTGGCAATCATTTGCAGATAACTTAACTAAACCAAGTTTCTGCACTCCATTTCTATTTCTTGTTCACTCACAACAAGTTTAAGGGCTGTTGTAACATCAAGGGAATCAGTCAAAATCACTAGTTTTTTTCAAAGTGAACAGGAGATATATCTAGAAACATTGCCACTGTCATACAACACCACCAGTACCTCCAGATTTAGTATATGTCTTCTTGTTTTAGATCAGTTAAATCATTACAGGATCCTCAACGGCCCAAACCAATTCTCTGAAGGCTAACTAGAGCTCATTTCCTTAAAGACTTCTAAACAATCTGAGTTATTTTTGCAAACAGACGAGTCGCCCCCTGCTGGCCATTAGAGAGAATGCAGGTTGAAGGCACTTGTGCATATACTTAACGTTCATTGTCGCCCGGTATAGTGCACAGTGATGAGTACAGTATTAATCTCCTATAATGTATCTGTCTCTGGTCCAGCTGGTGGGACAAGGGAGCGCCCCTGGTCTGCAATCTTGTCCCCCGAAGACCATTCTTCCCTGATGAACCCATCACGGAGACACACCAGCATCATGGCTTTCCATGGCAACAACCTCTCCAAGAGTCTCTCCATAAGCAACATCGCTGGGTGAGCTGCTGTGTGTGTTTGTCGGTGTATGCAATGATGCGAGGGCTCTCGGATAATCACATTTCTATTTAAATGAAACAAAACGTTTCTGTTAGCCATTTTGTGGCCTTTTTGGATTTGTTGACATTTTATTTGACCACTGCATCTGAAGTGCACCACATGTGTTTAATCAGCTCGTTGGGTGTTTTTGGTTGTAATTTTGTGTTTGTTTTTTCATTATTATTATCTCTATATTCAGTCCGGTGTTCGACGAAATGCCCATTAAAGGCCTGCGGTATCTCTCCCAGTCTACTGACTCCCTCAACAGAACCAACCAGGTCACAGAGTCCATGGAATCACTCACTGATGAAGGTTAATACACGCACGCACGCACGCACGCACGCACACACACCATTGATCTGACTACCCAACACAGCTGCCGGTCAGTTGGGATCGAAGAGTCTTTATTAACTGAGTGAATAACTAACAAAGTTGAAACAAAATCAGATTATTAAAGATAATGAATTTTCATACTACAGTAACAGTATTGTCAGCGTGAGTGAATAGTAAAAATAAATAAAAGAAAATAAATGCAGTCCACATAGGAACGGGATATAGCAAATGTTCACGAAGTAGCTTTACTTACCAGATTCTGTCAAGAAATAATTTAAACAGGAACTAGAGCGATGTAAAAAAAAAAAAAAAAGAACATAGTTATAATTTTCAAGAAATATTTCAAAAATTCATAAAATGTTACAGAAAATATTACTTGAGCTGTGAGTTAAGTTGTGTTGTTGGCGCAGGGACGGAGATGATGGACGGCCAGCTGATGGGGGAGTTTGAGGCAGAGGCCAAGGAGCTGGAAGCTGACTCCTGGAGTTTATGTGCGGAGCAGCAGTACCGGCAGCAGCTGGACAAAGAGCTGGTGAAGAGACAGGACGTGATCTATGGTACATTTGATTTACCAGAATACACTTTTTAATTAGATCTTAAGAAATTCATGGGAAATAAAGGAACATGTTAATAAGGAAGTTTAAAAAAGTGCAGCTGTTAAGTGTTTCTGCAATTTAGTCTCTACTGCTGCTATTTTTAATCAAAAAGAATGGAAATGACTTGAAACATCTGTATATGGCATTACTTAACTAGTTAACTAAGTGTAGGAATAGCTGGAGCATATACAGTCTACAGCTAGTTGCATCTACAAGTCTCAGTGGTCTATTGAGACTACAGAGTTTAAAATATTCATTGATTTACTTACTGTTTGAGATGTCTCGAGCTTTTGATTTGAGGATTCTGAAAAGCATATTTCTATATGTACACAAGGTATTCAGTGACACACACATTCATGCCACGAAACTGCCTGAAGACCTCCGAAGTAGAATCATGCAGAGGCACAGATATGTGGAATGGTATAAAGAGTGCTGCTTAGGTAATTTTTTCCCTCTGTGTTCTTCAGAGCTGATGCAGACGGAGATGCACCACATCCGGACGTTGCGCATCATGTCCGAGGTCTACAGCAAAGGCCTGCAGAAGGAGGTGCAGCTGGAGCTGCAGACGGTGGAGAAGCTGTTCCCCGCTCTGGACGAGCTGCTGGAGCTCCACACGCAGCACCTCCTCCGGCTCCTGGAGAGGAAGAGGGAGAGCCAGCTGGAGGAGGGGAGCTCGGAGGGAGGCTTCATCATTGACAGGATAGGGGACATCCTGGTCAGCCAGGTTAGAGGAGGGAGGGGCTGGTGTGAAGAGGGTTCAGGTCCCCAAATTGTAATACCGCATCATGAATTTACTTATTTTAATATCTCAACTACTATTGGATGGATTGCCGTGACATTTTGTGGACAATCATGACTTTGGTGATCCCTTAACTTTTCCTTCCGGTCGACATTTCAGTGTTTCCAATATTTTGGTTTATGACCAAATACCTGCAAAACAAATAACATTCCCATCAGCCTCAGCTGTGCATGATCATTTTGGCCATTCAGCTCAAAGCACCTCTGTTCCTACATCTAGCATCGCACAGCTTGGCTGTACACTCCTGTTTCCAGGTTTCAGCACCGTTGAAAAGGGTAGCAGTCCTTAGCTCTGGGAAAAATAATATCAATGGGTTGAATCCTTAGCTAATGCCCATGTTTTAGTATGCAGCATGCATACATACACCTCTAATGTAAAGTTACACGTTCTTTAAATATTGTTCTCCCAGCTTACCTTTAAAGTTTTGAAACTTAACAACTGAGTTCCAACTTGAAATAGAAGTTAGAGCCCTACTACTTACAGTGTTAGCTTTCTGGCTTAGCCTTTTTTTTTTTGCTCTGCTCTACCATTATTTGTTTTGTGTATTCATGGCTGTGAAATTCTGCTCCAGTTCTCAGGGTGCAACGGCGAAAGCATGAAGAGGGTTTATGGAAGATTCTGCAGCCGCCACAACGAAGCCGTGAACTTCTACAAGGACCTCCTGACCAAAGACAAACGCTTCAAGGCCTTTATCAAAGTAAGACTCTTTCAGCCATATGTTCATCGCAAATATATCCTACAAAAGTGTTACTTTTCGGAGAAGTTGCCTTTGTTTGTTGGAGTAGAAGTCTGGTTTTCCAGACATAATTGTTTTTTGCTGAATAGATGTCTCAGAAACACTCTGTTCTATAGAGTGAGACTTATGTTCTGTCTCACTTTACTTTTGTTTTTTAGTCTTTTGCATTTCAATCAGTACCGTAAACGTAAGCATTTGTATTAAAGCCACGAAACCTTTGAGACCGTTTTGTGTTTTTCAGAGGCGTTAGTTCTTCCATTGTCTTCTATGGTTGTGTAGCTGTCATATCCATAATCACAGCAAACACCTTCTTCAGTAATATTACTGTATTGTTCTACAGCAAATGAGTTCTAAGTTTATGTTGATTGTTTAGAGCCACCTGTTGCGTGGGCTTGTTTCACTAAAGCACTTGTTGTTTGTTTTTTCAGAAAAAGATGAGTAGCAGCATTGTGCGGAGGCTTGGTATCCCAGAATGCATCTTGCTGGTGACCCAGAGGATAACAAAGTACCCGGTGCTAATTCAGAGAATGCTGCAGCACACTAAAGGTTAGCTTCCTGCCGGCCTTTACTGTTTACATGACAATGTGGATTGGGGAAAGTGGAAGGAGGAAGTTGGTTTTAATTGGGACGACGCTGGCGACTACACAGACTATAATACCTGGCTAACAAAGCAGTTAGGTCAGTAGATGGGTAAAATGTATTGTGATACTACATCAAGATTCTAACCCTCCATCTAAAGCAAAAGAGGGATTTGAAAGCGGTAAAGGAGTTGCGCTAATTATACTTGGATCTGAAGGATTTCCCCATGAACAAGTGGCAGAAAGCCGGACAGAATAAGGCCAATCACAGCATGAGTACCAAGAACAATGTTGCTGGCTCATAGATCATCAGAGAACCAAATCAAACCACATCTAAGCATTTAGGCACGATGGTTCTCTTTTAAGGAAGTGAAGTCTCAAGACTTGTTGAGAAGCACATTTTTGCACAGCCCAGAATATGTGTCTGTGGAATCCATAAAAAAGTGTAAAGGTCAAGCTAATGGAAAGCATTGTCTTGACTTAAATCACTTGGTGGATTAATGATTTATATAATAAATATAAAAATACATTGCATGAAGAAATACAAAAGCAAAATCAAATACAGTTTCAACATCCACACGATTATGAAGAAGGTATTTCATATTTGCCACATCATGTTGATCCTGAGAACAGACGCATTGAGCTAAACATTTTTAATTTCACTTCTTCCCATACAGTTCAGCCTACTTCAGTCGTAGTACTGGGAAACAACCCACGCCAACGTGTCACTTGTTCTAGGAAAGCTCCTGAAAATTTGAATTTCTCACACAAATATTTTTTGAGAAAAATGAGACCTATGTTGGATAGGTGTTTTTTAGGATAATAGATCAAACATATACTTTGAGGAGCTGATATATTTCACACTCTATTTATATCTGATTTAAAGTGTCTCTCGTCGGCTGGCCTCCCACTGAGTACATTCACTCTAATCCCTCCCAAAAGCCTGTTTATAGTTCTATGTGGGACGGGGGAGCTCTGCCTTAATCCCCAAGGTGCTTTAAGAGGACTCTCTCCTGCCAACGCTGATATATACTGAGTGGAAATAACACGGCACGCTCACATTTACTGATAGTATTTTGGTGCTCAGGAGCACTGAGGTACTAATAACCACAGGAGGGAAATATTCCACTTCAGGGAAAAAATGTTACATAGTCATGTCTGGAACCCAAGTGCACTATATAAACAAGACGTGTGTATCAGAGAAGTATTGACTCTTGGGCTTTTGTCAGAGTGCAGAGCTACAGATTTTAATCCTAAATGAATTCATGTAAAAAGTAGTTCCTCTGTGAAAACTCCAAGGTTACTGATGTGTACCTGACTCTGACCTCTGACCTCCTTTTTATTACTCTCGCTTAATTGTGGAAAACAATCACGGTATGTTTATTTTGAGTAAAGGGAAACTTCGGTATTTTTCATATCTTATCTTTGAAATTGGTCCAGTACTAAGCGAGATAAGCCGCAAAACTAGCTGTGAGGGCGATTGGGCAGCGTCAATGTAACGTTGCGTTCACTAAAAGAGCTTGTTTTTGCCACTGACAGGTTCAGTTTGTTATTTAAGTGCCTGATGACATTATGGAAACACCTACAGAGAAATAAAATGCTTTTCTTAGCCTTTCGCTTGATCTGGTCTTGTTTATTATAGTGTCCAAGTCTCGCTCAAGGAGAAGTCTCCTTGTGAAATTTGAATATCGCAGTACCCACAAGAACACCACCAGTCTCCCGAACTCCGCGGCCTTGCAGATGCTGGTTCACCCTTCTCTGCCAGTTGCTCTCTCTGCCTGCATTTTGTGCTTCTGCTGGTTTTGCACCAGCAAGAAAATACAACTTTTTTTAAAATCGTAACTCCTCGCATTAAAACAATGAAACGTATCAAGAGTAGGCTTTGGTTACTGCCCCACTGGTTATCAGGTGTCGGGTCTAATCTAACCCGAGACATTTGTTCAAGTCGCCTGTCTGACCTCTCTCTCTCCTCGCGTGTCGAACGCAGAAGGCGAGAAAGACCACGAGGACCTGACGGACGCTGTCCGGCTGGTGAAGGAGGTGATTGCCGCGGTCGATAGCAAGGTGAACGAGCACGAGAAGAGACACCGCTTGAAGGACTTCCATGGCCGCATGGACATCAAGTCCATCATGATGACGAAGAGTGGCCAGATCTTTGCCAGAGAGGATCTGCTGAGGAGGAGGCTGATCCACGATGGAGTGCTGCAGCTGAAGAACAGCCAGGGGAGACTGAAGGGTGAGGGGACCGCAAATTCTCTCTGTAAACATGTTTTCTAACTTTTCACTTATCCAACCACTATTCTCCTGGCTGTTCTCCAGATGTACACGCTCTGCTGCTGTCGGACGTCTTCGTCTTCCTCCAAGAGAAAGACCAGAAATATGTCTTCGCCATGCTGGTAAGATCCCCGCTGTCATATCTCTCTTTATGCCTTCCTCTTCTCGCTCTCCTTCCTTCCGCTGTTCCCTCCTTTTTCCCTCCATCTCTCCGGTAATAAAGATCACCGCCAAAGGCCAAAGATGTTGGTTTCATATTTTCCTATCCCACTGTTGTTGCTGTTAGCATTAGCTGGCCCGCTTAGCGTACCCATTGTGTAATATTTCCTGCCTCTGGCTAGCGAGCTATCCGCACCTAATAAAGCTGCTCTGGATCTCGCCATCTAACCCAACTGTGATGAATCATATAGGTTGGAGTTGTTTTTTTTCCATGTTTGCAGGACTCACAGCTTAATGGAACACACACACACACACACACACACAAAGTAGGGGTAATGAAAACAGAGGCAGGTCTGTGGCATAACAATCACATCCATCATTATAAAAAAGCTTGGAATGTTTGAGTTGAGGCCGTCGACATTGAAAAGAGGAGCAACATGTGGTTTTGAATGGAGGGCGGCCATGTGAACCAGGTTCACAAGCTTCAGTTCTGAGGATCACCAATAGTACAAAGCCGCTTGTAACAACCAGGTCAAAGGTCACCTGGACAGAAGATAGAATGGATTTGTGTGAAACTGATGTGAGACTCCGGGAGTCGGAGTTAGACGAATCAAGTGGGTTTCATCCAGAGATGGTCTTCTTAGTATGAATTCTTTCCTTTGTTGAGGTGCAGTTGACGGTTAGTAAAACAAAGATGGGAGTTTGTACAAAAAAAGACTCCTGACTAAAGATGCGCACTCGATTTCCCTTGTTTTAAACTTTAAATTCATCTCTGCACAGAGCGAGAGCTGTGGATTTTGTTCCCATTATTCCACAGCACAGTTACAGTATAAAGAAGCCATCCTTAAACTTAAGACGAGATTACTGCTAAAACTTTGGGATGTGGTTTACAACGTCGGAGTTTTACTGGATAGAGTAGAAATGAAACAGCGGGTTGTGGTGTTAGCTTATTTAACTGTGCTTTCTCTGTTTTGCAGCCTTAAGGATGCAACATTAACCAGAATCTCATTTTCTCTTCTTCCCTCCCCTTTCCCCCTGCAATCGTACTTTTTATTTTGAATCTATCTATCCTTCCGTCTTCACTGCACTTGTTTTTGGCATGCTTTTATTCCCCTGATTTCCTTTTCCCATCATCCTCCTCCCATAATTACCCTCTCTCCCCCTCCTTTTCACTCCCTCCTGCTTCAACCCACTCTTCTTCCTGCCTTCCCCACCCTCGACATTTGTCTTCCCTCCTCGTCGACCCTCCCACTGTCATCTTTTCTCTTTCTTTTTTTTTAATTCTCCTCCTCCCTCCTTGCCTCCATCAATCCCCTCCCCTTCTTTTCTGACCCTTCCCTCACCGTAGGACCAGCGCTCCACGGTCATCTCCCTCCAGAAGCTGATCGTGAGGGAGGTGGCCAACGAAGAGCGCGGCCTCTTCCTCATCACCGCGGGCATCGAGAAGCCAGAGATGATGGAGGTCCTGGCCAGCTCCAAGGATGAACGCAACACCTGGATGCAGCTCATCCAGGAGGCCATGCAGTCCATGTAAGTGGGATTTATTTATGTGCTTAGGTGTTTTTACTTACAACAACATTCAGGGCATTTCGCTAATACTTCAATGAATGCTTTTTGTACTCCGATTTTGCCTCAGAATACACTGGCCCCATTTACTTCAACCCATTACTTAAACTGCACAGATCGTGCTTCACACTCAGTATTGGCCTCTTAGGGTTCATCCACGGCATATCTGTGTTGTAACCCAGGAGTTAGACCCAGCCCAGTTCTCCAGTAATAAACGGTAAGCTGCGACAGAGCACTTTGCTGTCAGGAGGATTAGCGCCACTCTACCTGGGGATGGGATGTACTCAGGGACAGTCTAATGCTGGATTGGCTTCAAGGGCAGCTCACTATAAGCAGAGGATTATTCCACTGCAGCCAGCGGGAAGGAGAGAGATTTACCTCTCTGTCTCTCTCTCTCTATTTTATTTCTCTATTATTTTCCAGTCTGACTTCTGTCAAAATACAAAATCAAGATCAGGCTACTGGCAGGAATGGAGGAGATAAAAACAAACAGTTCTTTTCAACCAAAAAACATCAAATTTTTGACTCTCTCAATGTTGGTCGTGTCGGTGTTATACACACTGAAGTGCTGAAGTGAATGACTATTCCAGTAATCCTTCCTAAAAGAACTGGTTAGTCTGTAAATCGTCAGAAAATAAAGAAATAGCTGAATTTTCGTCATTCATTTCTGACTTAAATGTTTTTTATCCCTGCTTGTAGATTCATACGTAGATATTGTAAGTGATTTAGAAAGATGTAGATGATTATTTACCAGATTTCTAATATTTTTCTCTTCCTTGGTTGGACAGGGAGAAAGATGAAGACGAAGGGATTCCCAGTGAGACGGAAGATGACAAGAGACAACTGGAGACGAAGGCCAAGGAGATGCGAGGTGAGGGAAACACATTTACAGCGTTCGCGGAAAAGAAAAAGAGGAAACTTTTGCTACAATTACCACAAAAAATTTCTCTTCACCATCATTCTCTTTGTCTTTCCTTCCCATCTTACTCTGCTGGTCAGATCTGTTGAGGCAGAAGGACACAGAGATCATGTCTCTGCTGGAGGAGAAGGTGCAGCTCTTCAGGGGGATGTGGGAGCCTCTGAACCCAGGCGAGGAGGTCTACCGGCAGGTCCAGCCTTTCTTCAGGTCGGCCTGCAGCCTGGAGCCACCCAGGGGGGCGTCCATCATGTCGGATGCCCTGCAGGAAGGTAAGACCGTGTGCATAATGTATGTACTGATCTGTGTTCTGAACAATAACGCAGAATGATTATACTGAATTAAACTGCAGACCTCATCTCATTTTCCACCCATGTATTCATGGGAATTGATTAGAGCTGAAAACGTCCTTACAGTCATAAGACGCATGAGCGCATGAGGCTCTGTCAACTACGACAAATGTCCAATCATATTTAAAACCTTTCAGACACACTCCCGTGTGAGAGGAGACATTAAAGGAGTCAGAGTATATTTTAGGATTTTATTCCTCCGCCCTGTTCATCAAATGTGTATGAGAGGGAAGCAGCATGAGCCCAGAAGTGAACGGAGTATATTTTGACAAAGAGAGAATGAAATGTGGAGAAAAGTTGAATTTAAACAAGCGGGTCTGTCAATGTTTTGCTGACTGAAAAATGAAGCTTCAGATCATGAAAGATTCACTAGACACTCAACCTAGCAGAAAACAAAAATATGTTTTTTTTAGTCTTTAGAACAGCATTCCTGCTTTCTTTAAAAAGAAAAAAAGTAGCATATTATTGACTGAAAAAGATGTAGAAGTGGTATTGTGCAATAATAAAGTGCTATTACTTGGTATATTAGATGTACCGTATTAGCATTCTAAATACTACGCACTCACTGAATAAGAACATACTGTTGTTGATGCTCAAAACTTGAGAAACGCACAGATGCAGCGAGCCCTTAATGGATTTTCAAGCACTGCTGCAGGCAAAGAGTGTTCCACGTAAAAGGTGTAAGTAGCTGATCAAGTGGACATATAACAAAGGGATGTTTGCAGCTCTAATGCACGGAAGTATGATGTATATAGGAGAACTTCAGCTTTAGCTACACCTCCCTCGAACGCCTGGGGCAGTAGTTGTCCTTGTTTGATATGTGAATTGGCATCAGTGATGTCATTTCTTCTGAGGTTGTCGTGTTTTACTGCACGTTCTCATCCACCAGCAACGTGTCTTTCTCCGTATTTCCCCTGCAGAGGTCACAGAGCTGCCTGGTCTTTATACATATACACTGTCTTGCCAGAGATTAATAATAATAGTAATTTCAGATGGTTAAGATGTTTAAACTTTCAGTAAAAGAGCTCTGTGGTTCAAACAGCTTGTCAATAGTTGCTAAGCAACAGGAGCCAGTAGCAGGTTGAAAGCAGAAGTGCCTCGTAGGATTCATCAGTGCAGAGCTGTAACACAGTTAGCCGGGATAATTCAGTTACTGACATTGATGTTTGCCCCCTCTCTCTCTCTCGCTCTCGCTCTCGCTCTCGCTCTCTCTCTCTCTCTCTGTGTGACAGTGGAGACGCTGCAGGGGCTGGTGAACGGCAGCCTGGGCGGGGCGATAGCCAGCGTCCAGGAGGGAGGGGTAGCGGGGGCGGTGTGTTTGCCCCGTCGTGCCGAGACCTTCGGAGGCTTCGACAGCCACCAGATGCACAGCAGCAGGAGTGAGTCCGCCGCTGCGTGCTTGCTATTTGGTTGAGATTCTGCAGACGAGTGCGCCGCTGAGTTTTATCGCAGCAGGGCACCACACCCAGCACTTTTCCCACAATGCCCCTGTTCAGTGCAGTTTTAGACGGGGACTTGGGCAGCAGTGCCGGTGCCTGGGGCGATCCCTCTGAACTGGTGGCTTGAGGGCTCAGAGTGGGACTCTACTGGCACTGTGGCAGATATTGAACCATTCCAGCTCCAGACTTTTACATCAGTAGCAGCACCTGCAGAACTACAGAACGTTTTCATCAGTGTGATGCTTTTAAAACATATTTTACCCTCTATTTAGAAACCAGACATGGACAAAAATATTAACATTATGTCAAACAATCGATACGTTATATAAACTAATGCTATGTACTAATAGAGATGTGTGGCGTCAGCTCAACCACATACTAGATGTAGTTTAAATTTGGTTACAAATTTGATGAAGGGATTTGTTTGAGTAGAGGAGACAGGAAATGACAAACAGAGCAAGTATTAGAAAAATGATGAATAAATGAACACAAAAACATGAGATTTTTATATTTTTTATCAACAAAATCAGCACTAAATTATTATTTTTTAGTTCAAAGAGTATACATTTTGTTGTATAATATATATTATATAATACTGTTGTGCTTCAGTAGATCTGAACGTGGATCAATCTGCCGCCTGGTTCATCTTCTCTCCTGTCGTTTCCCTTTCTGCCAGGTGGAGACGGCGATGAGAGCGAGGATACGGCGGGAGATCTGCGCAGGACGGAGTCCGACAGCGTTTTAAAGAAGGTCGGCATCTCAGCTGCCAATTACTCTTGACTCCGAAAGCCGCTACTCCCCCGTGCCTCAATGAGAACCCCGCAGGCCGTGTGTGGGGGTGCATTTGTCCTCCAACATTAACAACGCCATTAAGTCGAATTTAGCCAGTTCTCTCCCTCCAGTGAATTAGCCTCTTGACTCTTCCTGCAAAGGGCCCATTGCTAATGACGACCATCAGTTGCATGAGAATTCAATAGTGGATGAAAATGAATGGGCGGCCTTTGGGTGCAGCTGTTGCTGTTCTTCCCTGGATGCTAGCCTCTGTAGTCGTTTATCCTGCAGATATCCAGCAGCTGGACTGCACATGATTGTGTCTTTAATGTTTTAGTGGAGCCAGGCTACTGTACTTCCATTCCCTGTTCATTCTGCTGTCCGAACAAAAGAGCAGGGCTTGATTTGTATTTACATTTCGTCCTGGGCATAGAGCCAAACTTCAGAGGGGGCTCAGCAGTAAAAGAAGGGAGTGTTTGCAGAAGTCTCAATGATCATTAAAGACAATGCAGAGTTCATCTAAGCATTCCGCTTTCGATTATATTCACAGTAGTTCCTGGGTTTCTTTGAAAATTACATAATAAATTCTTCGAGCTGTTTAAGCCCTCCCTATTGAAAACGCAGTAAGTGTAAGACTGCCGTGTCGTGCATTATCATACCCTGATACAACTCGATTTTTACAGCACACCCACATGTGCAGCTGTAATCACATTCAGTACTGTACGCTGAACAGTATGCACTGTCCACATAATGTACACACACTGTGGTATGCACTAGATAATGTGTGCGTGTGTGTGCGTGTGCATGTGTGTGTGTGTGTGTGTGTGTGTGTGTGTGTGTGTGTGTGTGTGTGTTTGTATGTGAGTGCATCGCTGTGCTCTGGCAGCACAGTACTTAAGTGTGTGTTTGTGCTTGTGTGCAGGGAGGAAACGCCAACCTGCTACTGAAGAGGAACAGTGAGGTAACGCCGACTTCCTATCTCCAACTTAATTAGAGCTGCTGCTTACATGGGAGCCGTCCAAACTCTGTGTTTCTATCATAATGAATGTATCAAGTGAGATAGTAGTAATAGGAGCAGTGGTAGTAGTTGTTTGTATTATTAGTGGTATTAGTTGGTAGAAACATAGATGCATAATAAAGAAAAACAAAAATGGCAAAAAAACACGTGTGGCAGGCAAAGTAAACTGTAAAAGGAAGATGTTATTTAATAACAGCAGTCTTTAAGATTAAGCTTTAAGAAGAATTTTCAAATGAAAAATATGATTAAAGAGAATTATTCATGAGAATAAAGCAAGCATGCTAACCAGCGCATGTACAGTAGCAGCAGAATTTACCGATATGGAAAAATCACATCAGTGCCACAGCCATGCTAGCAGCTGTGTGAAGCTGTACTTATATGCACAGCCGTGGTTTGAGCTAAACGCTAACTTTAGCATGCTAACCTGCCCACAATTATTATATTATTATTATTATTATTATTATTATTATTCAGCCTCTGGGGACCACGAATGTGTGTACAAATCTTGATGCCGATCCATCCAGTAGATGTAAAGATATTTCAATAATTAAGAGAAAAAACATTGACCTCCTGGTGTGCTGGAGGAAACCACCGAGGTCATTAAGATTCATCCAATGTTACACGTGGATGAGATTTCTTGGCAATCCATCCGAAAGCTGTGAAGATATTTCTCTTAAGGTCCACATTTATAAATAACTGGTTTCCATTCTGTTCCAAAAGGAGAAAAGACGATAATGTGAAAAAGGTCTCCATTTAACACGAACACTATTTCTATAAATAAACAATGTAGAAGTTCTGAAAAGCTGCACTAATGATTGAAATACTAAACAGGCCAAGGACAGTTCCAAGAAACTATTCCAACAGAAAATACAAAGTGCATTTTCTTTTAACCTGCAAAGGATGCTGCTCCTGTACATTCTGATCACTTATCCATCCTGTACCTGTTACACAGACAGCAATCGAGGCCATGCTGCATTTATATTTCATGCAACAACACTTTCTGCAGATGTTCCTCGTTCTAAATGCTGCTCTCTGCGGTTCCCAGGGATGCGCTAATTGGAGCGCTTTGTGTCCGAGTAAACATCGGTGGCAGCTGAATGCTCGGTAGACCTTGTATCTTTGTCGTGCGTTTGAATGGAGAAAAGGTGACTTCAGCACATCAAGTCGGGTTTATTGCTGGCTTTGTCTCAGAGGCCACCGGGTGAACTCGCATTGCATTGGACTTTACTGAATGAAGCTCTGGTACCGTGCACATTAACAAGCAAAGACAAGTGCACTGATAAGCACAACCACATCAAATAAATGTTTTGAGTTGAGTATGCTCAGTGATTTCTCTTCTCCACCAGCAGGTCCTCCATCGTGTCTCCAATCTGCATCTCCTGCTCAGCACCCTGCAGGTAAGACGGCCTCCATGAAAAAACAACCATTCTTCTGTCATTACAAAATATATCTGGTGCAATGTCAACATAAAAGTATATGTTTAAGACAATAAAACAGGAGTGATGTGTGTGTGTGTGTGTGTGTGTGTGTGTGTGTGTGTGTGTGTGTGACCTGATCTTCCTCCGGTTGTGGCTGTCCCAGGCAGTGGTGGTCCAGCAGGACAGCTTCATCGAGGACCAGCGGCAGGCCCTGAGCGAGCGCTCCTCTGCCTCCTCCTCCTCCTGCGCGTCGTCGTCGCGGCCGTCCTCGCGGCCCAGCTCGCTGATCGAGCAGGAGAAGCAGCGCAGCCTGGAGAAGCAGCGGCAGGAGCTGGCGTCGCTGCAGAGGCAGCAGGCGGCTCACGCCGAGGAGAAGAGGAAGCGGGAGAAGGAGTGGGAGACGAGGGAGCAGCAGCTGACGGAAAGGGAGGGGCAGGTGCACGTACAGGTGACTATGGCTTCTGTGTTCTATTAATAAGGTTTCTGGGTTGCTTTGGTTCTCAATGTAACCACGTTTGTAACGGTAGCATGGTTTCATACTGTAGTGTGTTTTCACTTTGTACTGTAGTTTACCTGATGAATTACTATGTGGTGTTTGTGCAAGACATGCAGGGTTTCCTGCAGTGATGGCAGGCTGCCTTCAAACACATCTTTGACTGAAAAACCATGAAAAAAATCCCTCAACTGTCTTTTTCAAATACAAACTGAGGCAGATGACAAAACATTGCAGCAGCGGTAGAAAGGTTCATCCTAATGGCTTGAGATGAGCTTAAAGCTAGCATGCTACAGATGACTCACAAGCTTAGTTTTAGACTTGTCAATGGCAAAACAACAGGTTGAGGCTTTCTCGGCTGCACCCTCAAAATGTCAATGTTAGTTTCTCAACCGTTTTTAGATAAATAACTGCAAACTGTGTTTGCCGCTCTCACGAGCCTCCTGCAGTATTTTATAATTGCCTTGGCTCAGTTTTAATGCTTAGAGCGGAACTGACTCGCTACACTACAAAAGCGCTTTCTTTCCTTTTGATTACTTTCAAAACGTTGACAGTAATCAAACATTTGCAGTAGTGTGAATTGTGGTTCAGTGGAGCTTTCTGTATTTTAACCTACATCACGGTTTGAATATAAATTCACTTTGTGGTTTTTACAGGACAGAAAAAGTGAACTGATGCAGGGAATACAATCACAATCATATTTTGCTTTGTACGAATTTGTGTAAAGCCAGATTTGAGACTTTTTACATTTGATTGATACATAACAATAACACAGATCATCCAGTGAAGAAGTCATTCTCAGTCTACATCCTTTCTGAGTCACTGACTGATTGCTGTTTGTATCATGTTGGGGAGATGGTTTTTAGGCGGGTTGGTTACTGGTTGACGGCATTAATTGAGAATGATTTGAAATGCAACAGTGATTCAGATTCACTCAATAGACACGATGTTGTAAGTTTAGCATATTGAAAGACAAATTGAGGCAAAGCAATTGCAAAAGACTGTATTTCTTGGTGACGTGGACAGGTGGAGACGGGATTAAACCTGAGCTTGAATGGGCATCAATAGTTAATCAGCTGACAGTTTATTTAGTTTATTTAACATGAAACAGAAAGTTCAGGTAGAAAAGGAATGTATTACTTTAAAATAAAGGGTTTTTAGATATACTTCCCATTCATTCAATCTCATGTAATGGAGCTCAGCACTAGTCTGATGCGGTGTGCTCTACGATTTAAGTTGTACCATTTCAATAAATCCGTCAACGCACTTTTCCAACCACTGCAGGAGGAGGAGGTCCTGAAGCGGCAAAAGGAGCTGGAGGAGGAGAAGCAGGGCCTGCAGGGTAGAAAGGAGGAGTACCAGAAAGACCTGGAGCGGCTGAGGGACGCCCAGAGGAAGCTGGAGAGGGACAGAGAGGCCGTGCAGCGGCAGCTCGACAACATGGAGGAGCTCCGCCTGTCTGAGGTGATTGGGGACTCTTTTAGAAGCGCTAACGGGACGCGTGCCTCTCCGTTTGCCCCTCGGCCTCTGGCCGACACTCGGGGAGCTGTGTGGGATGCTGGGTTTCGTTCAATGGCGCTTCAGCAGCTTAAAAAAGTACAAAGTAAAAAAATATGAAACAGGTAGAGGAGCAGTCAGTGAAGCTGACCAATACAACAGTATGTGGCTGGTACAGGGTCGGGCCATAGATGTCTACCACGGGTAGACTTCATGACACAGTGGCAGAGATGTGCTACGTTAGTCATAATGCTGCTGACATAGCCATCAAATTACACATTACAACTGAAAGAAAGAAGGATTAGGAGGCGTGGACCTCGGTCCTCTGCGTCGTATTGACGAGTAAACAGTGCTGAATGGTAATCCTACATATATTATATTAGTATTTTCCCAGGCTTTTATGCCAAAATGTGTTTTTGGTAACACTTTCTGTAATTCATTATAAACATAACATCAAAATCAGCTTACAGCCATGTAAAATTATAAGCAATGCATGTTTTTAAGTGACTAATTAATAACTAATTACAATGCATTCAAAGTATGTTTATGTATTATCGACATGGGTGTCATAGAAAGTCTTACCCTTTGTTATTCTCCACCATTAAACCCTTTTCATGCTCCTCTTGTATTCACGATAAGCTTTGAACATGCACCTTTCATACACATGCGCTCACAGATGTCGATAACAGCCGTGCATCTTTCGTACCTTTACCTCCAGAGGGCTTCCTCTACGACGTCGGATGAATCCCAGTTCCCCAGCAGCTCCCAGTCTCTGGAGCTGGACCCGCCGGAGCTCTCCTCCTCCTCCTCCCTGCTGAGGTCTAAGCCCAAAGGGAAAGGCCTCAATCCCTTCACCTCATCCTCCACCAACCTCAAAGGCGGCGAAGCCAACAGCCAGATGTCAAAAAGCCTGCTGCAGCTGGCCAAGAACAAGAGCAAAGAGGGGAAGGAGAAGGAGAAGGAGAAGAAGAAGAAGAAGGGCAAAGGGGGGAGCACGCCGGAAGCAGGTAGAGAATGGTGAATATGAGGAAGTGGATGGATTTACATTTAGTTTAATTATTAAGCGTCTCACAGTGGGTCAGCAGGCTGGAAGTTAAGCGTTACTGTTGTCAACGACAAGAATAGCCACGTCAAGTCTTCTGTTTTTTTTCCTGTACGAGAAACAGAACCTATGTTTCAGCGCAACATTTCAAGGTTTCTCTTTGTGCTTGATGATGCAGTGCATGCTGGGAAGGTTACTCCACTGTAGACATGGGATCAGGTGTGACAGAGATGCATCTTTAGGCCACGGGAGTTCCCAGTGAAAATATTTCCAATTACCAGCCCAAAACAAATGGATGTTTGCTTTCCAATTTGACTTTGTTGTTATGAAGATATTGCCTATAAAAGTCACCCATTTTCTTTTAAAGAGCAGTAGCTCATACTGTATATGTTCAATAATTCTACTTGTAGAAATGTAAAGACCTAGCACACACACTGAATAATACATTTCCCTATATTATATTTCTGAATAACTGCCAATGACAAAAGCTATAAAATCAGTAGAACATTAGAGAGTAGAGATTAGATTAGTAGAGCGTCTGCATTAAATTCCCACGAGACACAGTGGTAGCGTGTGAAATATATATAGACATTTGTTACCCAATAAAACTGACCCTCATCTTTAACAATTCCATAAAAAGTACTCAGCAGTGCCTGCTCAGCCTATCATGGCTGTACAGTCTGGTGATGCATTTTTAAAGAAATTTAGCTTTTAAGTGTCAGCCTGCATCAGGCTTCCTCTTTATCTTCTGCTGCTCCTTTATCTCGCAGTGAGTGCAGCAGACACACAGTCCACTGTGCCGTACGCTCACCATTTCCCCCAGGTCAGCGTGATGCAGTCTCTGCTGGGTCCTAGCACTAGCTGGGTTTACGTCCTGTGATGCTAGAGTTCATTGTGTCGTCTCAAATACGTAGTACTGCATACTAACATTACCCAGTATGTACTCATCTCTATACTCTATAGTGTGCTGTTCAATCAAAGTACTTAATGTACAATGTACTTGGATCTATACAAAACGAGAGCAGGCAGACGTCAATCAAACCGCAATTTTTGAAATGTCATTGCCATCAAAACCTGCTTAGCATAGACTTTGAGATGCAGTTAAGATTTTCTCTTTGCGTTATTGAATTAGTCAGAAAGGTTTATTGTGAAGCTGTTGTTAGTGCTGGGTACTGGTATGCATTCACATGCTGGTTGTCAAATAAAGTAGAAAAAAAGGGATCGAATGAAACACTCTTGGTATCGGTATCACTTTAAGGGTTCTGTTATTGATGACGGTATCGTCATGTTTTGTTAAATGATACCCAGCTGGGAGCTCTAACACCCTAAAGTTAGTTTGGATCCGACTTCTTTTTATTGTTCTTCTGTGCGTCTCCCTGTATTTATAGAACGGCAACAATACATGAACAGTAGAGGATGCATACAATGAAACACATTGATACGTTTCCCGGGGAAAGTACCTTTTCTAGATAGGTAACGATGGCTGCATGTCAATGATGGCGAGGGCAGGCTGATGCTGCTCACTCACGAACTCTCCCTGGAGAACAATAGGGGACAACAGGTGGGTCTCTTGTGACGGTGACACTGACTCCTCTCTTCTCTTCCCCTTTCAGACCCCTCGCACCTCCCGGAGCCTCCTCTGGATGGAGAGATCTTCTTCTGCTGAGAGACGTGGTTCTCCTCCTCCTCCTCATCATCATCAACCAGTCACAGCCATTCAGGAGGAATATGTTACTGCCAAGTAGTAATACATTCATCTCCATGCGTAATACTGCAGTGTACTACCAGGCTTTTTGGCACCTTGAAAAGACTTTTATTCTCCGCATTATGAGGTAGAGCAATTTAACATTAAATGCAACAAAAAGACAGGAAAATAGATTTATTTTTTGTATCGTAAAATCCACTGCTTTTAGTCTCTGGGAAGTCTAATGCTTTAGGGATTCTGTGCGCGAGTAGACATGCATACTTGCATGAAAAACGGGCAACGTGGAATAGCTGCACATTTTGGGGTATTCGGTTTCCTTTTCCAAAGACACCATGGTTACGTGATTCATTTCTTCATTTGGAGGAATCATGAATTTGTGAGCATCAAATCGAAAGCGTTTCACAGCAGGCCGCCCTCACAAGCTCTGCCAAGTGCATCTCAGGCTCCGCTGCCTTTTCCAGTTTTTCCGGTGTTTGTTGCGGCCCCGGCCTTTCAGCGGTCCGTCCTGGTGTAGAGTTGCACACCAACACACACAGCCGATACCCAAAAGGCCAAAAGTGGAAATAGAAATGAATGCCAACAAGCTCCGGGTGGCACTGGAAGCTCATCACTCCTGATCATCTATTCTTGACAATTAATCAGAAGACTGAAGCCACGGAGGAAAATCTGCCGAAACCAGGTGTCCTCGCAACATGTCTCAATCAAAAGAAAGAAATGCTACTGTATGGAAAACATTCCTTTACTCACTGCTTGAAAGGCAGGTTTGGTCCACGCATTTTGCCTCCTGTTAGTACTTAAAGTGGAATTGAAATACCTTCGGTAATCTTCTATAAAGACTTTATGCCATCAATCGTGTTCCCTGGCTCCGTGTTAATTTATTTGAAGAATGAGCATCTCCATTTTGGAGTGAAACTCTTCAGATGCGTGCGTCTCCTTTTCCAGACTCAACAGTGATGAAAGGACAGAGACATCTTCCGGTGTCTAATGGATCAATTCATATCCTTTAGTGTGTTTCAGAGCCGTGGATGGATATTAGCCTGATCCTTGCTTTATCTCCCTGTCAATGGGCTTTTACGCGGCCCTCATCTCATCCCAGCGCTGACGAGTGGAGCTTTCCTTTTCCTTTTCTTTTTTTTTTATTGCGTGTAACTCTGCAGGTAGCATACTAATGGCTCCTGTGTGTGAGAGTGCAGCGGTTCTGATAATAGACTCTGTGAATGCACGCGCCTGATGCTTTCAGAATACAGGGGGCTGTTAATCAAGGGACAAAGCAGCTGGTTAGAGGAAGTAAACACACCAAATGACGCTCTGTTTGGACGTCTAATCAGGAAAACCGGCTCAGTGTCTGATCATTTCAAATTAACCGACACTCATTGGTGTTGTGAAGCACTTTGGTCCAAATATGTTCATGCAATTTTCTTTTTTTTAATCAGTGTGAGATATCAATCAAGGAGATCTTTGTATTCTGTATTTCTTTTTGTAAATCGAGGGATTTGATGCTCACAAAAAGCAACGGCGATCCAAAGCGAGATAACGTGTTGAAGTACATAAAAGACGCTGCGTTTTGTTGAAACGGGGGACGGTAGCTTTTATGTAGTGCTCCCACGGTGACTTGTCTAACGTGTCTAATTTCTTTAAGCCTGTGTTTTATCCCCACTAAGCCCAGATTGTGGGCCCCACACACACACACACACACACACACACACACACACACACACACACGCACTACCTGCTGGACAGGTAGGAAGTAAAAAACAGAAGAAGTTTTAAAAAAAGAAAAGGACCATTTTCCGGTGAATTACAGAGCAGCGCCACTGAACTGCTTTCCGGCTGCCTCTTTTGTCTCGTGTTTAAGTGCTCGTCTGTTAACTGTGTCGAGGATTTGACTTTGTGTCCGGGCCTGGTTTTATTATAGTGTGTCTTCTAAGAGGCTTACGAGGCCAGCCAATTAGTTGCTTCATGTCTTTTGTTTATGGCTTTTTGGAGTAATCCTGTCAAAGAAACAGAGAGGAATGGGCTTCTTGTTTTGTTTCTCGGTTGCTTTACGTGTGTTTCTGACCACTAGGGAGCACTGCACCTGTGACTAAATGTGTTCCCTCCCTCACACAACAACAACTAGAAAGTATGAAACTCTGTTTTTCTTCAATTTTTTCTTCATATTCTTCCTGCTGTGAGAAATGGACCTATATTTCTCAGCAGGTCATCCATCGCCGTACAGAGATAATGTGATGAGAGTGGGCTCTCACGCTCTGTGACATTTTGCCCACTGCATTTGTAATTGACTGCCGACACAAATAAGTTAATAAGTTGTCAGAGATTGTAATTGGTTATTTTCGGTGGAACCAGTCAGCGGCAGCTTTATTGTGGGGAAAAAACAAAAAAAACGAAGACATAGCGGTCGGTGGGAGCGACCTGGCAGAACCACAAACCTCTCTCTGTAAAGGACAATCAGCAGACACGAGTCAGGAAACTCCCTCTCTGATGATGATGATGATGATGATGATGATGGGGCTGTCCATGAGACGGTTGCGTCCACCAGGTGAACCCTGCGTAGCCTTAAATCTTAAACGATAAAATGCACTAGAGTAGAGCCGAGCATCTTCTCAGGAGAGAGAGATCATTTATACCTCTGCTTTGAGACGAAGGAAGAGTTTTGCACCGTAAAAGTGGTGCAGATTTGTTTCATTCCCAACAATGTAAAAAAGGGCAAAGACAAATATGTAAATATGATTTATGTATAAAACAAATCAAATGTACAAAAAAAAGAAGTTTCATTTGTGATCTATTACAACATTTTGTAAGAATGTTTTATTTATGTTTTATTCTCACCCATGGGGTGATGTAAAGTCACATTTCTCTCATAATAAACAAAAAAAAATCATCTTCTGTCTTTCAATTGCTTTTATCATTTGTCTCGAACAAATTGCTAAAAAGAAATGATACTCTGAAGTGCAACATCCTATTTTTTTTTTTTTTATGGAAACTTTTTTTTTTCCTCACATCTTAGAGACCAGATGGCTGATTCAAAAAAGGATCAGCAGACTAATCAGTAATGATTATTTTGAAGCTTTGCACATCTGGATATCCCAGTCTCCTTTATAAAACCACTCCAGCTCTGTCAGTGAGTCAAGTGCTGCCACAAATTCTCTATCCGATTGAGATCTGGACTCAGCCGCTATTGACTGGGGTTTTTTAAGGAACATTTTTACCACACAAGCACGAAAAGATCTTCAAACTAGAGTCGAAATCGCTAGTCCTCCCCTTCAAGATCGGGTATCAAAGCAGGACCCGTGAGAAGGCCTTCAACATGACAATTACCACAAACTCACTGCCAGACAGTGAGGTTTACGTTGGCCCCTTGCGGGTCCAGGGCCCCGAGGCATTGGATCAGTGCAATTCTGTGTTGCTCCTCTTTCCTCTGATCTGATCTGTGATCCCGTTCTGACTGCAGCAATTAAACATCTTTGTTTCCGTGTGTCTGTTTTGTTTTGGACACCTTGATAACAATTCCGCTCATTAATCCACTTTTTGTAGTTTCAGAAGCCATTAAAATGGCCATCACTAAATCCTGTTAATGGTTTGATTTCCTGTTTCCATTAGTCGTGGCACTGCTGTTTGAGCACCAGCGCCGGAGGGAGGGAAAAAAAGCTGACAGCCATCTTGATGGATTGACAGCAGTGCAGGCACACAGCGGCGTCCCTCCCTCCTGATAAATAAAGCACCAGCTGCTTTAATCTCCCCGTGCCGCAGACGGCGTTTTGCCTCTGGAAACCTCAACTGTGAAGAGTTCTCTACTTTTCTTCAACATACGATCGGACCACGTGATCTCTTCACTGCCCCTCTCTACATACTATCTCCCCTTTCAACATATAAACCCCAGAGACAAAACATCAGCTTGGTGTGTTGAATTCTGTTTAACAGGGCAAAACACTATGAAAGTTATCCCTTATCTCTTATTCCCACCGCATCAGAGTTGTGCAGCATTAAGCTACGACAGCAGAAAGATAGACGGTCTCATCGGCTTCTGGTTGTCATGGTGATGGGGATGGGGAGGATTTGCTGTCGGAAAACGAGAAGAGAAGTCTGAGAGAGACGGAGAGAGGGAGAGGGTCGCATGAAATCACGACTACACAGTTATTCCAAATTAAAAATCCCATCGTGTCCGAGAAGAATAAAACACTTGCAAATAAGTCCGTGCAGCTTGAATGACTGAAGACGATCAGTTCACACACACTCTGAGATGGATTCTCTATCTGGCATAGATAAGAAACATTTGACATTGTTGAACTAGTTATTCTCATATCATAATTGACTAAATATCCGTCTAATTGATAGCTTTAAAGCAGCTTTGTATTGAGCCGGGACGGGAACACTGACACAATCCTCAAGCAATTTCCAATACACTGATTTATCGTAGCGAAAATCTGTCTCCTTGACATGAAGTCAGTGGTGGATGAAGAAGTTGGGTCCCTCACTTCAGTAGAAGTAGAAGTACCTCAATGTAGAAATACCCAATTATCACTAAAAGTCCTGCATTTGAAGTTTTCTTACACCTGCATTAAGTGATTTTGGTTACTTGAGCGCAGCAGAAACAAGCTGTAGACACAACGCTGCCATATTATCACCTTTTTCAGCTGATATTTAGACATCGAGCAGACAAGGAGCAACACAATCATTTATTTGGAGTCGTCTCTCTGGCCACCTGGTTCGTGTAAGTACAATATTAGCTCCGCTTTTGGTCTCCACCAACTCCCGAGGGACATTTACGTCTCTTTAGCCGCTAAATGCTCCCTTTCACATTAATAATTTGATCCATTGTTAATATGAACATATTGATTACAGCAGCTTTAAGCAGAGGCCCCTCTAATTAAATCATATTATATTACTTTATTTTGGAGCTAATTTCAACTATATACTGTTTGGTAGTTTAAGCAAAAGTTTTGCATCATATTTTACAGGCTGTGACTATATTTTTATGCTAAATCTTTATCTGTAGAGTAACTATAGTAACTTTATACAAAATACTATAACATGAGAAATACTCAAGTAGAGTAGAAGTGCAATTGTTTTTACTTTAGCACAGTACTTAAGTAAATGTATACTTAGTCACGTTCCACATCCTGTAGCCTATTCTCCCACCCTGTAATTGTGTTATATTCATATTAAAATTAGTTTGAATGCAATGCATCTATCTGTTTGTCTTTACACTGAAAGGATTTGTCAAACATATCAAATAATTGTAACTGAATTATCTAGAGGTCTTTGTCGCAATAAAGTGGTAAATATCAGCTGAGGTGGAAGTAAGAAATGACCCCTCCACCTGACAACATTTTCTAATAAAAATAACAGAAAGCTCATTTGAGATTACACAGAGAAAAACGGTTTTGGGGCATACTTTAATTGAGAATGGAGGAAGAGTCGTCAAATCTCGCGCGTTACTCCGACACTAAGGACCCAAGGTCAAGGGTTAAGTAGGGAATTTTGGTAGCTAGCATCAGCAAACAGCAGCCTAATGTACGGTTGGTGATAGTGGATATTATAAAGTGGCTCAATGTTGAAGTTGATGTTGAGTTTTGGGAGGGGACAAAATAAGGAAAGACGGCGGCGGCTAACATCCGGTCTCCGGGGGACCACAACCTCAGCCTCCAGATGATCTTGGAATTGAGAGAAAATTCCCCCCCGAGTACTAAGGAGCATCTTCTCTGACCACCGTCGGCACGCGCTCCATGCACGTGAGGAGCAGCTGGACCTCCTCAGGTAAAGACTCTGCACCGAGACTTTTTTTGAATGCAGATTTGTGTTCTGGCTGGATGAAAGAGTTAGCTGTGGTGGTTAAACTCAGGACTTCTGAGTTATGTTTGTGTGCTTAATCAGCTTTTTTTCTTCAGCAACATTTTTACTTTTATTCACTGAGTTATAGCCTTGGGAAATGTTTGTGCTGCGCTCTGAAGCAGACATGAAGTGAGGTTTTTCTGTTGAGGTTGGAGTTTGTGATTAGCAATTCTGCAACGTGTTCCGTCAAAGAGATGTCAATTTAACGTCTTTATCGACGTCCACTGTGGAGCCAGAATGAACGTCTTTTTTATGTTCATTGTTGACGTCCAAGTGACGTGCGCTCAAGGTTCAAAGGGAAAGATTTTACAACGTCATTTCAGAAGTCCTTTCAACGTCAATTACATCCGGTCGAAGGACAGATTCATTAAGTCTCCATTGCACTCAATTTAAACCAACTTTATTCTTTGGTTGCAATAAGGCCAGAGTCCTATCCTGTCAATGCTCACAGGTGGTCAGTAAAAGTGATTCTCAGCAGTGTGCAGGACTGAAGATTGTAAAATGGATATCTACTCTCCCCTAGATGCACCTGTTATCTAGAATGTCATACAGGTGCACCCAAGACTGGGGATTCCTGACATCTGATGTTTTAAAAATGACACTTTGTCTGAAGACAATATTATTTTTTTCAGCAAAAAAATTGACAATTAAAAAAATAAAACACAATACAACTGCCAAGTTAGTTGTAAGTAGATGCAGTTTTGAAATGTAGGGGGAAAAAAAACTAAGTACAAAGTACTTAGTTACTTTCCAGCTCTGAATGGCCCCCTACCTCCTAACCTCCCTGCTGATTGCAGCCTCGTTCTAGTTCTCATGACTGCTGCTGCAAGAAAAATGTTTTTAATTAAATATGCAAAGACAACCAGTGTAGTTACATGGCATACATATACGTGCTCACCTGTTTATGTGGAAACATCCAGGTTTGAAGTTCAATACACAATAATTATTATTCATCCAGTCAAAATATCAAGTCCCAATACAGCACAGAACCATGGCAACTGGTGGGGTACACGGCAGCATACATGTGACCTTATGGTGGTATGAGGATGATCTCTGTCGTCACTTCACTGGCATCGCTGTATGTTAGGACAGAGAGAGACTGAGAGGCGCTGTGTCCTTGGATGAATGGATAGCAGTCGTGAACCTGCACGGCTCTGCCACTATACAAATTGAATTGCTCAGCAGCAGTGTTCTGCTACTTTTGGTGGTACCTAGTCATGTTACTAATTCTAATTTTCAAATGTATTTGGGCTCATGACTCGTTACTTTTGTCTTGATCATAGCAGACAAAAGCAACATATGCCCCCTGATTTAGAGACACCAACATCACATACAGAGAGAGGGAGTTTCTAAGATGAACTGACTCAGCAAATATGATATTCATGAATGCTCGAAAATGACATGCCCAAAATGAATAGAGTGTAACTCTGCAAATACAAGGTATATTCGAACAATTTTGATACGATAATAATTATACCCTTTTCACATTTCTGCAGAGGTGTAAGCATCCGTATATGTTACTGGGTCAGGGTAAATGATTATGAAACCCAGCACACATGAAATATTTCCTTTCCTCCTCACAACATTGTACACTTTTAGAGTAGATATCCCTTTGGAATGATGCAGTTGCAGCCCAGAGCTTCTAGCAAACATCACAACACCTCAGCATTACTTCTGCACAGACTGATGCTAATAAAGTGAAGCACAGCAAAGATACCATCTGTGCCATTTGAGGTGTTCTAAGCTAACTGTTTTTCATTTACATATCACTTAGGGTATTGATTCCATCTAAATATATATTTTCAAGAATCAACCTATCAGACCTCTATACTTGTTCCCAATCAAAGAAAACCATAACCCATTGGTAATAATTCCATGGATTTGAATGAGAGTCCATGACACTCAACTCTTTTAGAACATTATAATATCAAATGGCCAAGGTTGATTAACATTATAATGCGTCATACAGTTTGCTGAACAACCTGCTGATTCAAATATTCTCATTCAACATGCAGGCGACATGTTGAATGAGAATATTATTAAACTTTC